ATTAGTTCTATACAACTGTAAAACCTACAAGGAACACCTATAAAGGTCAAAAACTCACAAAAGCTACAAAGTTGGTTCACCTTTTGTCTTTACTTTGCTTCAAGAAAATTTTGTAAAAGTGGGTAATTTAGCTTACCTCCTTTTAAAGATCAACACATAAAACTACCAAAACAGTTAGCAGTGTTTACTTCCTAAACAGGTTTGTTGATTATATAAATCAAAACAAGACAGTAATACAAACACAACTATACACATGCTTCAAAATACTAAAAAACCTAAAAATACTGCCTCTGGACTAACTAGTGCTCTATACTGACCCTCTACAATCAAGTCAAAGATTTTTTCTTTTTTACATGGTTTTTTGTTAAATAATCTAAGTAAATAGAAAAATAGTAGAGTTATTTCTATTTAGTATACTTTATAATTTTTAAAGGCCTGACATAGGCATACAATTATGACCGTCTGATATTTGTGAATTGCAAGTTTTACACATTTCCTTTTTTCTTTTTTATTCTCTTTCCTTTTTTATTTCTTAATTTGTATCTTTTATCATTTATCTCTATACCTCTGTTTTGTTTTTTACATAAAAAAATTTTTTTTTTTTTTTGCTTCTCTACGAAAAGATGTCATCAGATTGGTAATGTCCTATTGTAGGGCAGCAGTCAGACGAGCAGTCTATCTCTAACTGGGATAGTGTAACAGGTCATACTTAGGTACTATTTGGGTGGCCGGGTAATGCTAGACTTATATATTAGAAAAATTCTATATAATCTGTATAGTTTCAAGAATCTTAATAAAGTACTAACATGACTGCTAAAGTTAAAAAAAAAAAAAATCAAATATTAATATATATTAAATTTAATTAATATAATTTAGATACAAAAATCCACTTCACTTTATAATGAAAAACAACAAAAATAACTACAAGAATTATTTGTTGATTGACTTATAACAGATTCATGTTCTCTAATTAATATTTAAGATAAAGTTTTCTATTGATTTGTAAATAGATTTGATTCAGTATTTTTAATTTCTAATATTAAACTAATTAAGCAAATTATTTACAAAGTTTATAATTATTTAATTTTATTTTTGTAAAACTATATTAAACAAAATATACTTAAAGTTTTATTTACAATAGATTTCTGGATAGCCAAAAATCAGCAAGACTATCTTGGAATTATATATTCATATATTAATAAGTAATTTAAATTAAAAAAAACAACTTTTACAATTTAATATATTTATTATCTATATATAGTTATCAATATTTGTAAAACTATAAAAAAATTTCTTGAATATTGAAATCTTAGTAAAAATATATATATATATATTTTTTTTTTTTATAATTAAAGTTCCTATCTTGGAGATGCAACATTTTTATTTAAATATATTAGGACATGACATGCTACCAAGAACTCATCTTATATTGGAGATTACAACTAGCTACATATGCACTTTTGGTGCCTAATTTAAGTAGTTTGCTTACATATTGCTATATAAGTTTTATACTAGTTACCATACTTGCAAACCAACTAGGAGTCTTGTCTCTTTAAACACTCTGCATATGCAATCCTCTTTGTATCATAAGAACATCTTAAGGCTACACCTATCCAAGTTCCTGATACTTGTTGTTACCCTTAGAACTAATTTATCCTCAACAGAAAACTTACTAGAGCCTTTATATTCTATATAAATAAATCTAGTTTTATACAATACACTATAGTTACCTAACACTTGCAGTCATAGGAGTTACCTGTTTAACTACTACATTACACTAATTCTACTCTTGTAAAGTTCACTAAAACTTCAGTACCTATCTTTCTAGCATCTTCTCTATTATCTTCTACTAGTCGCAACTTGGAACTAACAGTCTTTTCCAGACTACCAATTTAGATAGCCCAATATAGTATACTTTCGTATTCTTTTTCTCTAGTGAATTTGGTAGCCTGGTTGGTTATGTGCTCCTTTACATATATTTGGTGTCTGGTTTAATCTTTGGTTCTTATAAAGATGTTTCATAAGTTTTAACTAGGTATTATAGTTATGGTACAAAAAATTGACAGTAATGTGATCTCTAATGAATTGATACTTCAAATTGGCTCGAGTTGTTGCACAAGGCTTTACATCTTGCAGAAAATTTTTTTCATTACAAAACAAATAATTACTGTTCTATTTTAAAAACTTTTTGGACCAAGATCTTAACATTTGGTATTATTACTAATAATAAGTAATAATGTTTATTTACAGTATATTAAGAAATTTTTAATTATAAGAGTATAACTAAAAAGCATGAATAAATTTATTACAACTTTTTTTAAAATAAGGGAATATAATAATTACTTATTGTAACCAGAAGGCAAGTTTTGATTCACGAGAAGGATCCCAGGTTTTTTGTTATCTTCTAGCTCTTAAAGCCTCCTGATAAACTACTGTTTTAGGGATTAAAGTTTATTTTAGTTTTATATATACATCATAAAAATGATCATTTTGAATATTATCTAAAATGATAGTTATTAAAAATTTAAATACTTTTGTATTCTTCTCTAGCTCAGCTTTTCTAAATTTGACCAATTTATTCTGATTATAAATATTTAATTCTGTATTATCTCTTATGCTTTTAACTTAATATAAAAAACTTTCAATATTTTCATTATTTCAAGGATTATTTGATTAATCAATGATTAGAAGATTTTCTTTGCCAAAGTAGATAAATAGGTAGTTATGTTTTTGTCTTGTAGTTATAAATTTAGAGAAGAAATTTGGGTGTATAGTGGTATAGTTTTTAATGAAATGTTTGCATAACATGTAGTTACTTTCAAGAAATACAAAACATGAACAAATCCATCTATTAATATCAGTAAGATATTCTTTCTTTATACTAACTTCTTTTTTTAATATGGTTTTCTAATTGCTTTTGAATATGTCTTATCATGATGGAAATATACAGTTGTTATTAAATCTATTCCAGTTATATATTTGATCAGAAATTAATTCTTGGATGATAATATGTGTTAAATGATCTAAGTAAGGTTGATTGGTATTATATTTATAGTTATATTTAAGAGCATGCCAGTGTAATTCTACTAACATAGTGGTTTTTGCTAATGGTAGTGCTTTAGAATAAGAAACCTGGGCAAAGAGATTCTAATAATTTTTTTTATACTAATTGACCTATAAATAGCCTTATAGATGAATAAGATTCTTTTTTTTACAATATTCATATGCTTCATGAACACTTAGATAGTATATTTTAGCTGAGGTAAGAAATGTTTCTTTGTTGATTAGAATAAGTAAATGCAGTAATGCATGTTTTTTAACTATTCTTAAAACTTTTTTAATATTTTCTTTAGGACATATGTTATTTTCTTGTTTACTAGGAAGCCAAAATTTATTAATAAACTCAAATTGATTTTTAGTATTATTGGCTACTTGTTGTGTATATTGATTAGCTTTATACTTTTTCTCTTTTAGCTTTCTCTTGATAGCATACTCTAAATGCCACAAGCAAAGATAAACTTTTGCTATTTGAGACCAAACTTCTAAAGCTGCTAATTCACTAGCATCTTTATTCATAAGAATAAAGCTAGGTTGAATTCTAAATATAAGTCAATAATAAGATTAAATTATTTAAAAATTATAAATTCAAAAAAAATTTTTACTTAAAGGTAATAATTAAATATATATACTCTTCAGTTTTTAATAAAAAAAAGAATTCTTTTAGAGCTAATATGCATGAGTGGATTTTATTTTTTGGATCTTGCAAGCATTCAAATAATGCTATGAAAGTATGAAGATATAAATACGCAAGTGGAACTCTGAATCTTTTACAGTTATTTATAATAGCGAAGAGTTCAAATTTTTCATTATTAGTCTTATATGTTGAATCTATAAGTATTTTACTTATATTATTTTTTAGTATATAATTAAAAAAAAGAGTAGTATATCCAAGAGATCTAATAAAGTCATTTTCTATATATAATAGAATTTTATATTCTTGATCGACTAGATCACTTTGGGCCAAGAGATTTTGAGTAGAAAGAAGTTGATTAGAAAAATTTGTAACATATTGCTAAGCTGAAAACTTAAAAATCCAATAGTACACTTGTTAATAAGTATGCACATTTGGGTTAATAAGTTTTTCTTCACCAAGTCTTTTATAAAATTCAATTTTTTTAAGGTTTCTATATATGTTTTATGATATCTAAGCTATAGCATTTTGTGATAAGTTACTTTCACAATATGTAGAATGCTCATAAGCTATTAAGTGTTCAATTTTTATATTTGCTTTATATTTATTAATATCAAGGTTAATCTTGGTGTTTTCTTCATATGAATACCAATTTATTTGAGATCTCACTTCACTTATTCTTTTTGGTATTTGACTTTCTGAGTATGTACATTTACAATCTTCTTTTTGAGCATAGCCAAAATATATAGTTGCTTTTTCAGTTAATTAATTGTTTTTCTTATGGATATAGATTTTTCTTAATTCTCAATAATAGCGAAATCTGGCTTTGATAATTACAAGAAGAGATTCAGCTATATTATGATAAGTAACTTCTTTATCATTCTCTTAATTTTTGTTATACATATTAACAAAATCTTTATTAAACTTCAAAGTTCCTAAAAAACATGCATAACTACTTAAAAAAAACTCTTTTTTGTTCACCTCTGATTAGAAAAAGTAAATAAAAAACAACAATCATAAAGTTACTAAACACAAAACAAATTCTCTCCCGTACATCACAAAAATATAGTAAATAAAAAAAAATATAGACAAGCTAGAGACTGACATCTGTACTAAATAATTATAAAAAAGCCTCGAACAAGTGTGCATTTGTGCACAACAAGAAGATAAACAGAAATAACATAAGTAAATAATACAAAATAAAGAAGAAAAAGATAGCAAAACAGAA